TGTGTATCTATCTCCTTATGTATGCACCTGTATATATAGATAAACAGTGTCAAATCAGGACTTCTTCACCTGGTGTAGCCTTCATAGAGTTTAGAAAAGACATTCTCTGAGATTTTTTTAGACACTTAAAGTACTCAGCCAGGAATTTTATCTCCAATATGATTCTTCATCACTTTCTCAAACTGAACACTCCAAATGAAGGTATAAAAAAAAACCTTCATCTTCATCTGCGAATTGTTCAAAACAAATGTTTAGACAAAAATTCACCCTATAAGTAGTGCTTATATTACAAAAAAAGATTACCTCAACTGAATTGTGATTTCTAACAGCTACTGTGAAATCATCACAGTTGCGAATCTACTGGGCAGAACTGTAATTTGAGTGCAACTGACCTAAGGTTAGGAGTTAGTTTGGAAACAGGTTGTAGATCAGTCAAATGAAGCTTTGTAAAACAAAGCTCAGACAAAGGAAGCTTCGTAAAACAAAGCTCAGCAAAATGCATTTTAATGTGCTGAAAATGTTTTCGTAAATTATTAACACCTACTGCTGCAAGGTCTATGGTAACATAATAAAATATCCAAATACAAATAAAAGATGTAGGAGTCAAAGCAAAATCTACATAGCATTATCTTCTTTTATCCAATAATTCCAAGGTTTTAACAACTAAAAACCAAACATACCCATATAAAAGGTAGTGCACTGCAAACTGACATGTGTTTCTGCGATCTGCCACAGCCTGATACTTTTACTTAACTCTGTATTCCTCTTAAGGTAATCAGCATATTAAGTACTATCAACAGCTATACTTAATGCTATTTACACAAGCATTAGACATCAATACAGATTTATTCTTTCCTGACAAATGCAAAAATTTCTTAAAATCCATGTAAATATTTTAAATATTTTTTATGGGAAAATAACCATTTTATTAGTGATATATATGGAAAACTTTTACACATTTTAAGATAGTTTTTCTGCAGTATTTTACTATTTCAAGACACCTGATTTATTTGAAAACACAGGAAATGTACAGGAAAGTATTTGTGAGATTATAAAAACACAATTCTACAAAAGAATTCAGCTCATTCCCTAATGCTGTGGTTCAAAAATAGGTGTAGCACACATAACAGACACAGCATACGTGTAGCCTCCCCTCCTTAAATAGGATTACTCACAAGATTAACATTACATATAAATTTAAACATTCTGGGGAATCAGATCCTGAATCAACACTTACCTGCTGTAAATTACAAACTAATCAAAGATACCACCTTCAGACTGTGAGGCATTGTTATCCACAGACTTCTAGATCTCACTATTGGGTCATAACAATATTTGATATTCTACTTCAAAAAAAGATAGCTTCTCTGCATTTTTTCCACCTTTTAAGTGTCTTCAAGAGTTCATTTTTCAACATCAGCAAAAACTACCAAACACCATTCTGGAGCAGCACCCAATGTCCCTATATGACTTATTTCTCACAAATTCACCTTCTTGCTGAACCCATTTTTTTTATTGAGAAAGGTGAGACAAGTTGAAGTTACTCTTCCTATTACCCCCGTTACTTATATGGATGATAATCCATAGGAAACAGGTGATTCTACTCAACTCCACAATAAAAAAATAATAAAAAATAAAAAAAGACAAACTGTGTAGTGATAAGTCTCTATTTTCTGTTCTGTTACCTTTTCTGCACTGTAGTTCTCCAGCCTTTACTGTTTCTCAGGATCTTAAGATGTCAGCATGAATTTGTTATAAATTGTTTAAATGGGAGAATCTGTAACTTCCTAAATTATGTAGTTTATAAAAAATGTCAGCTTCTGTCAGAGCCTGGAAAGTTCTTTTAAAGGGGTAACTTCATCTTGCAGTCCTAGCCAAAAGAAACAGCTGTCTTGTTTTCTCTACATGGCTCATCCCTGGCACTTTATCATTTCAAAAGTTTCCTTTTTTTCCAGCAAACAATAAAAATGTAACTTCCATTGTGCTCATTACATTCAAAGTATTTCTTCACGTCCTACAAGTTTAATGAAACTGTGAAAACTGTTACTCTAAAGCACAGATGTTTGCATAGTTCTCAAAGTATAACTGCACCAGTTCTGAAGCAAAAAGGAAATGTCTATTTCTTCCAGTTATATGGCCAATAATAACTTCTGCATTCTGACAGAATCATGTGTATACTGGCAAGGATGGTAGTTTCAAAATACTTTATCAGGAAGTCCACAACTAAATAAAATACAGGCACTGCAGATACTGATCCAAACTGATGAATATACTTCTTTGCTTCAAGACTTCACAGACTTTTGTTTTTTTTTAAACACATTTACAGTTATTTTCACCACCAAGAACGACCCTTATATTTTCCAATGTAGATGACCATAATAGATGTGATTAACTAAACAGAATTCCCTTGAAGGTGAGAACCAGTGTTTTTCTACCTGAATGAACTCAGTAGAGCAAACCACTGGGTTTGTAACAAAGTACTCGTCTACTTCAGAAGATTCAGGGGTTTGGAACTTGATGTTCTTAAGGTCCTTTCCAACCCTAACTATTCTATGATTCAATTCACAGGAAACAGTTCATTATTGTGGCATTTACATTATACTACAAATACTGCAGTAGAATGTATCCCATACTCTACTTAATAACAACCTAGTAGTCTCTCAAGGATGCTTAACTAAAAAAAAATTGCATCTTCTACTTTTGGACAGGAAAACCTTCTACATAGAATTTAAAGGAGGCAAGTAATTCCCTTCATATCTACTACCCATATAGCAATTCAAATCAGACATTGGTACATGACAGCAAAAGTAAACCAACACATGACAGAACAGGCAAGAGAGCATTACTCTCATGACCATTCAATCTGTGTAAAAGCCTGTATCTCCTAAAAGGAGGAGCAAGGAGCCAGAGGGGACTTGTTAGGAAGAGGTTGAGTATGAGAGACTCAAGGAAGATGTGGGACTCAGCACACAACATGGAAAAGATTCAATATTTAACATTCTTATATCCATAACTGACCAAGACAAAACAGGCAAAAAATGCAGCTCAAATGTAGCCTGAAGTGACCTAAAGCACCTTTTTACTCCTAAGGGAACTCCCACACAAGTACAAAAGAAGTAAAACCAAAGAGTATCTAGTGTGATGCAGCAATACTAAAATGTTAAATATTTCTATTTTCTTAAAAAGCCAAATGCAGGTTTTATAAAGGTAAATAATGACCATCTGTAGAGGCCTGAAACACTTTAACATCTTTATGTTATGGAAGGCAACCAGCAGAAAAATATTTATAAATATTTATAAATATATAAATAAAAGTCAAACTTGACCATTCTTCCTATCCTAATCTTCAGTTCTTACATAATGGAAAGGGGAAGGAGAGTGAAACATTTCAGATATGACTACCTAAAAATTTTGACTCACACAAGGCAATATATTAAAACCCACATGGAAACATACTAATAGCCATTCAACAATTAATGACCTAAAGTAAAATGACAAAAGGACAGTATCATGGTAAGCCAGAATGCACATATAATTTTAATAAATAAAATTTCCCTGTCATTAAAACACAGTCATGAGTCAGAAGGTAGATGCTGGAACTGTTTTGACTTCTAAATTGCTGATTAAAAATGAATTTAAAAACATATAATGAAACAGCACCAACACAGTAAAAAGGAACTTTCAGATACTGCTAGGATCACTTAAAACCCACTGAAAAAACACTGAATTCACAGTTCAGTCTGTCCTTATTTACCTCAGCCCATGTTAAACAACATCCTGGACAGTCTTTCAGAGCCAAGCCCTTAGTGCAAATGGACAGTGATCACTACTATCATCTTTTGAAATCATAGATTTATGTCTCAGTACTCTGGGACTAGCTTTCTCCATTTCATTTTCAACTCTGACAAATGAACACAGGGGAAAATCTTTTAAGATGCTTTTGCAAGACTTCATAAAAGCAAAGCTCTCTTTTATGTGCAGCTGACCTCAGCAACTGGCACACATGCATCCTCTCCCCCCAACTCCATAAGTAACATTCACAATCATTTTTTTTTAGTGTATGATTTAGACATAACCCACTACAGCCTAGCTCTCCATCTGCAGCCTTTAGACGATAGATTTCTTTCAGGTGTAGCTTGAAACATTCTTTTAAGTGTTTGATAAATCAGGAGCACAAATCCACACGGAAACAAGCTCCTTACTTCCCCTCCCTTTTTCCCCCCAATTCTGGCAGCATGGTATCTCAGATGCACATAGAAAAGCTAAAAAAATGCTCTGTAGTGGTAGGTCAAACTTTCTGATGAATGTGTAGCTCTTCTACAAAACGAAGATTTGAGGTCAGCCCAGTGTGGTAAGTTACCAGTCAAGATAAAGACTTCTGCAGAAGGAATCCTTCTGATTATGCATGTACCTTTAAGACTGACAAAACCCACCTGCTTAAATAACATCCAAGGTTTTAGAAGCCAGAAACTACAAAATCATGTAATACCACATCTCGGAACTGGGTTTCAAAGAATCCACTGTCCATTTACAATGATAAATAACTCAGCTTTTTAACAACTGTGCATCCTATCTGCCAAAACCCAGTCATTTGCACATGTTCCATATCCTGATCTCATCAGTAATATTACCTCAGCATTCTACTTCTCTGTATTAGCACTGACAGATGTTAAGAAAAAATATTTATTTACATAAGCATATATGACAAAGGGAAGCTTAGCTTTCTTTGATGAAGGACTGAGAAACAGAGGTCTCTAAAGACATCTAAAGCAATACTAAATTGGCATTTCTTTACTCAGCAGGATTTTCTCTCCTTTCAATACTCGATGTGTTTGCTATTTATCCAAGACACCTCTGAAGGTTTTACAAATCAGAAGTAAAACACTAAGTTCTGTCACTAACACCGCTGCCTTATCATCCTTATACACACGTTCTAAGAAACCACCTAAAAGATGCATAGAAAATGGAGATATTACCACGTATTTTGAGTGATTACTTACATCATACTCTGCAACTCAGGCGTAAAGCTTGTAGATTTTCTCCCACTGCTTGAAGAGGCAAGTGCTGACATCGGGCTAGCCACAGTGCTGCTCATCTGAGTAAACAAGATATAACAACACTTACGATGCTTATATTTTACGAATTTTTCACACTAGGCATAGGAAAGGAAGGAAAGCTTATATGGGGTAGACGTGAACATAAGGGCACTGCATGCAGAAAGAAGCCTGTCTGCAACACTGTGGAAAATGTAAGAGTGTTGATGTCTACCATAACCAAAGTACTAGAAACATGCACTGTTTTTGAACAGGAGAGGTACCCTAGGAAAAGCACTAAGATACATACATAGTATTCAGAGACACCAGTATCTTGCTACCCAAAACATCCTCTTATATTCCTGCAGTATCCTAAGCACTAAAAAATCACATCCATACCATCTCCACTGAGACTAACAGGAGTAAAGCAGAATCTCAGAAAAAGCCAGAAAAAAAACATCAATTAAGCACTGAGATCATAACCTTCATTTCTGAAACACCAGCTTTATGTATATATATTACTTAAGTCTCTAAAACAGAAATGCACTAGGAGTGGGAATTGAATGTTATCATAATACTATTATGATTGAAGGTTCTATCTTTATACGAAGTATTTTACAGCTTTTCTATGCAAACTTCTCATTAAAAAACTCCAAACAAACCCAGGATAATTCTACTCTTATTCTATGATGCAATTAATGCATCTCTTTTTTGTTCTTTAATGAAAATCAAAAGGCTTTAAACAATTACTTTTTAAAAACTAACTTAATAAAAGTCTGACAAATCAATATCTGTTTTATTATGGAAAACTCTGCAATAGGAACTTCTATTTTTCCCTTCAAAATATTTTTAAACAAAGAACACACCATATAAGTCTCCTGATAACCAGGATATATTCCCACTACACTTCTTCCTCTTCTAGTTTGCTGCATACTAGTAACAGTTGAGCTGCACTGCTCATTTCTTGTACTATTAGTAGTAATGGTTTTAATGACAATGAAACCATGTGTCAATAGTTTGCTGCAAAATCTCTTAAGGGCTTCTACCTTTCTCCACTCTTAAGTCTTAAGATAGGTTTCATTTCCAAAAAACAATCTAAAACTACCAAACTAAATGATCAGATTTACATTAAAAACCATTAAAAGCATTGCAATCAATCACAAATATGCTTTGGTTTAAGAAAACTTGTAATAATTTTAAGTACATAAGATACCTCCAAGAAGTAAGGAAAGAATTAGTGCTTTAGAAATGCTAATGACGTAACAGCACCTGGATGAATGACAAAAATAAAAAGCTTATCCATTCTGGTAGAATCAGAGAATCATTTAGGTTGGAAGACTTGATCTTAAGTTCAACCATTAACCTAACACTGCCAAGTCCACCACTAGCTCATGTCTCTAAGTGCCACATACCTAAAATACCTCCAAGGACGGTGACTCCACCACTTCCCTGGGCAGCCCACTGCAATGCTTGACAACCCTTTTGGTGAAGAAATTTTTCCCAATATCCAATCTAAACCTCCCCTGGCACAACCTGAGGCCGTTTCCTCTCATCCTATTACTGGGTTACTTGGGGGAAGAGACCAACTCCCACATTGCTACAACCTCCTTTCCTGTAGTTGTAGAGTGACAAGGTCCCCCGTGAGCCTCCTTTTCTCCAGACTAAACAACCACAGGTCCCTCAGCTGCTCCTCATAAGACTTGTTCTTCAGACCCTTCTCCAGTTTTACTGCCCTTCTCTGGACCCGCTCCAGCACTTCAGTATCTGTCATGTAGTGAGGGGCCCAGAACTGAGCACAGGATTCAAGGTGCAGCCTCACCAGTGCCCACCACAGGGAGGATGATCACTGCCCTGGCCCTGCTGGCTAGACTATTGCTGATACAGGCCAGGACGCCACTTGCTTTCTCGGCTGCCTGGGCACAAGCTGCTCATGTTAAGCTCTGTCAATCAGTACCCTCAGGTCCTTTTCCACTGAGCAGCTTTCCAGCCGCTCTTCCCCAAGCCTGTAGCATTGTATGGGGGTTTTGTGACCCAAGTGCAGGACCCAGCACTTGACCTTGTTGAACTTCAGGCGACTGGATTTAGCCCACAGTCCTAGCACATCCAAATCCTCTGTAGAGCTTTCCTACCTCAAGCAGATTGAAGCTCCTAGCCAACTTGATGTCCTAAGTTGTTTTTTTATTAATGCTTTAGAAGAGCTTTTCACAGACTTCTGTTCATCTTCAGGCAGATTCTAATTTAGATCCCCATCCTTGCAAGCACTTCTGCACATGTGTAACTTTAATCACAAAGTTTACTCCCACTGAAGTCTGATTTTAATCATGAGTAGTTACACACCAGGCTTAAGTGATGGCAGGATCCTGCAATAATCAGCAGTTACGAGAGAGTCATAATATCCAAACAGTCAAATTAGTGGGGGTTTTAATATTTTTTTTAAGTAAAAAACTTTTAGAACATACAGGAAGGTGACAGTATTTCCAACAAAGTTCTAGGTACACATGAAAGGGCATGAAGAAGAAGCTCCAATGGTACCAACCCAAAGATTTAGAAATTCATATACATTTTACTGTTCATTATTTGATTGGGACTGATTAAGATTTATTTTAGCAGTTTATCTATTTATACCCAATATCACAGTACCAATATTCCTAAATATAAATTAGTACAATTTTACACAGACCCCAGATAAAGTAGATAGGGGAACAGCTCAGTTAATACTTTCTAAAACAACTGTAGAGAAAGCTGTGGAACATACTTATCATATGCGCCTTAAAGCTTAAAAATTAAATAACATATGACAACTAAAGGTTTTTTGTTTTGTTTTTTTTTTTGTAAACTGCATCATTTAAAGCATATAGTTATTTTCTTTGAATATCCATGCCAATCATTTTGCTTTATCCATGTAGTTCTGTCTAATAACTTCAGAAGCATTCTCCCAAAATTCCCAAGAAACGTGGTACAATTCCACAGTTGCCTCCTCACAGCGTAACATTTGTGATTCATGTGTGTCCAATTTTGGAGTGAATACTTTTTAAGGTTCCTGTCCTCCACGTGGACAAGACCAGTTTAATTAAAAAAACTTGAAGGGTTGTACATCTGTGTGAGCATCAGCAGGTTGGAGAGCTGAAAGCTTATCAACTACTGCTTCCCTAAAAACTTGGTCTTCCTATTGCAACCAAATGATTTAACTTTCAAATCAAGCAGGTGTACAGCATTTTCTCGACATAAAAAACCAACAGCTTGTCAGGCTTTGTCAGACCCTTTACAATAATTACTTCCACAGCCCACATTTTGTTTGATGGTTTAGATAATTAACTTCTTTACACATCAAAGTTCCATCGTCCGTATGTTCTATTTCCTTTCTTCCGGACATTAAAAAAAAAAAAATCTTTCAAAAGCAGAAGCACTCTCAAATCAATTTTCTTCAATAAGTACAGCTAACATGGAACTGAAAAGCCTACTGTAATCTTCAATGGGTCAATAGATGGTATTTGTTTTAGCCCCGGACTGAAATGCAGCTGTTTGCCATATTCTACAAAAAGGATTCAGATGTTCTGATTAGGTCAGAGATTATTTCAACATGCTGTATTTTAATCATGAACTCTAGAAAGAAAAAGATAACTTCTGATTAACATTATCTGGACTAGAAATTATGAGTTTCTACACAAATAGCTCCAGCTTTTACAAATTCCTTTCCTATAAGTACAATATGGCAATCAAATATGTAATAAAAATATACATTAAAAGGTATATAGAATCATTAATGTAAATGTTTAGAAGAATCTACTGTATCCTCAATGCCTTTTACATTAGGGTCACAATAGAAAACAGTACTTGTTTCATAAGAATCAGCAGAACAAAGGAGTTCTCAGCTGAGGGAAACAAATTCTAAGCCATTTCTTGTCAAGTTTAGGCCCATCCTTCTCACTGAGGTAAGACACCTGGGCAGACTTTCATTACATAGCCATACTTCAAATCCACTCTGAGATTACCGATCACACTGACGCTTGTATAATCAATACCTGATCTGCATAATCCATCTATTTATTCAAGATCTAGAGACACACATAAAAATTGAAGCTCTACTGCTCCTAAAAACTGAACTTAAAATATAGGCTATACATTTAAGTTGTAACTGTAGAGCACCAAATCTCCAAGTTACTTCAGTTCATTTGGGACATACATAAGCAGTCTAAAAATATATATATATATATATACACACACTTAATAACTCCTTCTTCTGAAATACTTCTATTCAAATACCACCATTGTCAAGACATGCATAGAAAGGTGCATTCAAACAGACCAGTCCTCCAATACATCTGTTCAACAGCTGATCTAAACACAATTAGGAAGATTAAATATTAACATTATGACAGCTCCCACTTCACAAAGACAGTAATCTAAACTGGGCCAGCTTAAAACAAAAGTGGATGGTCATGGATCCTATCTGATGCCTCTGTTATAAGCTAATGAAGATGCAGAATTAAAGAAAAAAAAAAATAGCAGTGTTCCTACATGAATTTTTACATTAAAGAACACATTAGAGTAGAATTTACTGTTATGCTGACTTCAGCAAACATACATCTAATGTGGTTACTGCATCAGTCCTCTTCTCTTGCCTTTCATAAACACATTTACATAAAACCTGAAACCATGCAAAAATTTAAAGACTGACATATTTTCATTTATATAACCCCAAACAAAACAGGAAGGAAATAAAAGCCAAGATGACTATGAACACAAAATTAAAATGAATGCTTTTGCTTTTACACTCTCTACTTCAGAGTAATTACATTAACTAGCCTGTTACCACTGAATATTTTACTGCTTGCATGGCCTCACCAGCAGAGAGGATAAGATATGTCCTCTAGGACTGGAGATGTAATAACTTGATGCTTTAAACAGATTTTTGCTAGTACACTTCTTTCAAAAAACAAAAACAACTCTACACCCTGTTGAACATGTGCAATACTGGCTAAATGTATGCTAAAAATTATAAAATAAATAAAAAAAAAATTAAAAAAGGGTTTGTTTGTTTTTTTTTTAAAAAAAAAACAAA